AAGTATTTAACTGGTAAATATATAAATAGATAAGAGAAGATGATGCATATAGTGTATCGATATTCATTACTAACCTAAATAGTTTATATTGATACATAGTTTCAAGCACACTTGAATAAATGGGAACATTTTCAAATCTACAGAAAACATGATACAGTATGTTTGTTCTTAACATCTCTATTTGTTACTACGGAGAGGTAGTGGCCTCTAGCAGACTGCATAAGCCTGTGGCAAAGCTGAGACTTCAGCGTGAATGTAATTGCTACCATCAGTTTTTAAAAACCTACTGCACACTGAGGAGGTGCTTTCTCAGTTTTAAGCTTGGCTGGAGCTACTGTGTAAGCTTTAGGTGCCTTGGACTTTTTTTATTGAATTGTTTAAAAGCCATTTTTAGAAGGCTTTAAAGCCAATTGAGGCTGCTTGGAACATGACATATAGTAGGACTTCAACGGCTTTAAAAGCAGGATTAGCTGAAATACTTTAAAACCTGGATCGAGTTTTTCATATTATGGTAGATTTTTCAAGTCAGGTCTAACATTTGATCGTGTAATGGGATGTGTGACTTTGCATGCCCATGACAGGGGCTGTCCATCTGTCCGGTGGGTCCCAGTCTGGGCAGTCTGCCTATGTGTGTCAGATCACATAAAGTAAGCCTGCATCATTAATCATGATGCAAATCTACAGCTGAGGGCTTTGGCTTCTGGAGGGGCTCCCTGGCATGGGGCACTGCTGGGTAATGACCCACAGCTGCAGAGCAGCATGGCTCACCTGTCCCTGCACAGAAGCTGCAGTGGGTGAAGAGAGCTAAGATGCAGCTGGCAAACAGATCACAGCACCTAGCGAGTGGGATCAGAAAGCAGGAGAGAGTTGATGTGGCTGTACAACAAGCACCTCACCTAGAAGTGCCACAGCAGCAGGTGATGAAAAGGGAATCAAATGAGTAAGTCTCACATGCAGTGCATGAGACTGGACAGGTCTTAAATCAGTGACTCACTATTAAGTGTTTTCACTGCTTGTAAAATAAAGTGGAAGCACCTCCTCCAAGCGAGAATTAATTCACTAATGTTTATCTACCTCTTTAGAAGTATAAAGTGCTATATAAATGTGTTATCAGAATGGAAAGAGGAAAATTTACCTGTGAATCCTTGGTTGCTGTGTATTCTTATCATTAGCATTTCGCAATGGTTTCAGTATCAAGGTTATTGATAGGATAGTCCCTGGCACAAAGCTCTCTGAGTCAGGGCCTTATCCGCTTACAACAGCAGCCACAGCAATCATACTTTTGTGGATATTTTGAACCAGTAAGACAAATTAAAAAATAGTGCTTGTAATTTACTCCTAACAGATTATTACATATTACATTCTCATGAATTTATGTTCTCCTATACTTCTATGAAAAGAATTTAACCTATTTGATATTAGTTCTATACTTCTGTTTAACTGGATCCTTAAAGAGTATCTATATACTGAGACAAGGGTTTTTTTCCTTCCTTTTATGATTATAAAGGAATTCTACACAGGCTGTAATTTTTCTTTGTTAAATCTGCCATTAGGCAATTCCCTTTTTGATGATTTACTGAGAATGTGATGGAAAAAATAGACATTTCAGTCAGATCTTCCGAAACAAGAGAGAACATGCCCAGAGGTAAAGTGCATATACAAGTAGAATTCAAAACAAGTTCTGTAATATATTTTATACATCATTCCAAATTCTATATAAGAAATGCAAATTTCTAGTTGATCCTTGCTGATTGTGTTACAGTTGCATAGAGCTCTCTTAAGAGCTCATGAAGATCTGATTTTATCTCAATTAGATTCTTGGCCCTTAAATTTTCTTTTACAATAAGATGTTTTTATTGCACAATAGCAGAGTAATAGGGCTTTTAAAGGGCATAGACTTCATTTCCTGGAATTGTACACATGTTTTACACTGTCGAGGTGGTTTAAAGGGGCCATATCATAACAAAAAAATTAAGCCTTGGATCTTGTTTTTGCCAAACATTAGCAGTATGTGTGGTAGAAGGTTAATTTCAATGTTTAAGTCTCAGATCTGTGTTTAGGATCAAATGCACTGAGTAATCCATTAAGATGGAAAGTTTCATTATCTAGAGAGTTTGCAAATTTGTTTTAGTTTGTTCAAAACACTTATAGAAACCTTAATTTACTCATTTGATTTTACACAGTATTTACAAATAGAGTTTTAAAGTCAAAATTGGCATGTGTACTACCAGGTTATTCTGTAAGTACCTCTGAGCTTCAAATTAGAGCACATATATAGCTACGTTTATGGTGTCTCAGTTGCTATCTGATCTTCAGATGTTCTGAGGATACCTCTTATGTCATTTGAAGTCGATGAGGACCGTAACACTGAGCAAACCTAAAAGTTGGATGCAAGCAGTTTCAGTGTCTCCCTGATATACAGTAAAACTCCAGTCTGGGCCATCACTAATAGTTTTAATGATTCTCATGATATAGTAGAGTGGGGGTTTTGAGAAATCAAGTCTGAAGTTTACACAACAGTTTCTTTTTTTTGGTCTTTTTATATAAGTTTCTAGTCATTGTGATGATGATAAAAACCATGAAAACATTAACAGAATGTACTTTACAATCCCCAGACTCCCAAAGAATAATAAAAAAAGGAACGTAACCTAAAAGCTGTTTTGTAATGAAGCAGCAGTACAACTTTCTAAGTAAATCTCTGATTTAGGTGCACGCTGTATGTTCATTTTAAAGTGTCCAGTGTCTTCCACATATTGAACCTAAGCAAAAGCTGTAGTTAAGTGGGAAATGGCTGACAGAGACTGGATCAGAATAAAAAACTGCAGAAGTACTTTGATGCTAATTATCTGAAGCTATTCCCAGTTTATAGCTGTGTTAACAAATTGCTCTTCTTGTATTCTACCCCAAAAATCCTGTACGTGTGTTTATAGGTCTCTTTGGCCAGCCGCACCTTGATCATGAAACTACCCAGCCACGGAAGCAACAAATGCAACTTTCTGTGCTGTGGAAAACCAAAGGCAATTTCTGTTGTTGGGAATCCAATATTCTCCTGTTCTGGAACTCTTCACACATGTTTTGTGGTGTTTGATGTACGCTGACAAACTATTGAAAAAGGTTCCTGTTCATTACTAGGTTTCAGATTGCATATTCTAAAAGAAATTATATCCTGGTTTTATGGCTTATGTGCCATGTTAAAAAACAGAGTCTCAAATCTCAAGTTCATTTGTATCTGTGCCTTGTGAAGTATTTTTTTAAAACAGAGCATTGTAAGCTTATAGAATTGCAAAAAGGAAGAGGTGAGGCATTCCTCAGGGGTTGGTGTTGGGACCGGCGCCGTTTAACATCTTTGTGGGCAACATGGACAGTGGAACTGAGTGCACCCTCAGCAAGTTTGCTGACAACACCAAGCTGTGTGGTGCAGTTGACACGCTGGAGGGAAGGGATGCCATCCAGAGGGACCTGGACAGGCTGGAGAGGTGGACGCATGCAAACCCCATGAAGTGTAACAAGGCCAAGTGCAAGGTCCTGCACATGGGTTGGGGCAATCCCAAGCACAAGTACAGGCTGGGTGATGAGTGGATTGAGCAGCCCTGTGGAGAGGGACTTGGAGGTAGTAGTGGGTGGAAAACTGACTATGAGCCAGCTGTGTGCACTCCCAGCCCACAAATCCAACTGTGTCCTGGGCTGCATCAAGAGAAGCGTGGCCAGCAGGTCCAGGGAGGGGATTGTCCCCCTCTACTCAGCTCTTGTGAGACCTCACCTGCAGTGCTGTGTCCAGCTCTCGGGCCCTCAGTATAAGAAGGACACAGACCTGTTGGAGTGAGTCCAGAGGAGGCCATGAAGATGATCAAGGGGCTGGAGCACCTCTGCTGTGAGGACAGGCTGAGAGAGTTGGGGTTGTTCAGCCTGGAGAAGAGAAGGCTCCGGGGAGACCTTACAGTGGCTTTCCAGGACTTAAAAGGGGCCTATGGGAAGGTGGGGAGGGACTCTTTATCAGGGAGTATGGGGATATGATGAGGGGTAACAGTTTTAAACTGAAAGAGGGCAGATTTAGGTTAGATACAAGGAAGAAATTCTTTACAGTGAGGGTGGTGAGACACTGGCACAGGGTGCCCAGAGAAGCTGTGGCTGCCCCCTCCCTGGAAGGGTTCAAGGCCAGGTTGGACGGGGCTTTGAGCAACCTGGTCTGGTGGAAGGTGTTCCCTGCCCATGGCAGGGGGGTTGGAACTACATGATATTTAAGGTCCCTTCCAACTCAAACCATTCTATGATTTCTCTTATATATACAACAAACACAAGTGAACACACGATGCATTTTTTTGTCATACACGTTGAAGTGTTGGTTCTTTCTCCTTATATAATCACATAATTAGCTTGCATATGGGAGAGACACAAATCTTGAAAAATTGTGTTGCGGTGGCTGGTATTACCTCTGCTATGTTACTGATCATTTATTTTGCTTGTAGCGATGCCAAGAGTAAAACTTCTGCTCATGATTCCACTTGTAATTTTAAGTGGCATTGCAGTCTCCAGTTTGGAAGCTACTTCTCTGGAGAATACCATACCCTTAATATGTCTACAGATGAACATTTGCTTTGGGTTCTTTATGTTGTGTCTGCATTACAACCTATTTTTGTCAAGCACAATGTGCTTTCAAACCCTCCACGGGAATAATTTTGTAAACCATTTAGAAATCACATTTGTTAGTGGCAATACAGCAGAAAGTAACAGTGCTTGGTATAAACAAATAGCTTCTATAGTGCATCATGACTAGTGACTTCTAGAAAAGTAGTTGTTTCTCCATCAGCTGCAGTTCATGTAGAAAGGCTTTTTTTTTTTTTTTCTGGTCAAAATACATAGTTTTGAGAAAAATATCAGTTATTCTTCACATAATAATATGTGCTGACAAGGCAAGTTTATATTTTGGATTAATTTGAGAGTAAAGAGTGTAAAAGAACGTGATAAATATGGATGATGTTAGCCTGGGTAGTGGGATTTACCTTCTGCCATGTGTCTGATACAAGATGCAGGATCCCTTGTTCTGCACAGATCTGTAGATGAGCTGAAATCCCATGCACTGAGCCCGCCATCCCGTTGTCCTGTGGGTTCATTTCCTTCTGGAGAGCAAGCACTCTGCTGACCATGTTTTAAATCCTACCCAGGAATTACAGTAGAAGAAGCAGGGTAAGTAAAAGTATCATCTGAGGACAAGGTAGCATTTCTGTGCTTTAAAGGTGGTTTTGAGTAACTTATCTGCTAAAGTTTATGCATCTGGAACTTAAGCATTTAAGTCATAGTCACTCCCAGTTCCCTTTACGGTCCCTGTTGATAACCAGGCTCAAGTAGAGGGTGGTTAAGCTCATCATCAGACAGGCCTCAGAGGTAAATCAAGTGAATTGTCCTCTGGAGGTGTCTGCACCCCTTCCTGGCTATATTGGGAGCCCAGACACCCACACTGTAGATGCCACCATAGAGATCTGAAGAGTTAGATATCTAAATCTAAACTGGTTGCTCTAGTCTCTATAATACATGGAAATCTGAAGTGCTGGCAGTAAAGCCCAAGAGGGAAATTACAGATCAGCCAGACTAAGGAGACTGATAGAAAATATACAAGCGTAACACAGAGTCAAAACTGTAAAAGTTTATATTGCTGATCCAGATCATGTAGGCTTCAAGGAGTAAGAGGTAAACTTCCAGGAGGGAGCACAAAGCTGGAATGCAAGAAACAGATGACCTAGCATGCCTGGCAGAGATCACTGAGGTCTGGGCAATACTGAAGCAGAGTAATAAAATCAATAGCTTCTTGGATTACATAGTTGTAAAGAAATCAGGGAGGATGGACTCTAGCTGTCCTTGCTATGGGCAAGCAGTCTTAAATGCTAAGGAGCATTGTTGGGGGCAAAGTTTTTTTTAACAGAAAATCTTTATCTCTTGTAGTTGTGCAAGCATAAAAACACAGTGGAATAAAACAAACAAACAAATAAAATTAGAAATATGAACTTGCAGTTCATTTTCCTGTTAAAGCAACACTATAAACTGGATGGTTATGGAGTAATTGGGTGATAGAAGTGTCATAGCTCCACTGAGCCTATTTACCTTCTGGCACCTAAAAGTTTGGCTCAAACCTGTTTGTTTACCAAATACAAATATCTATATAACATGTAAATCCCCATAAAGGCAGTTTATTCACTTCCAATCTGTTATTTCTTTTAACAGAAAAATCTTCCTGAAAAGAATTCCTGAATGGCATTAAAGTACCTGGGGAAAATAAATCAATAAAAGTGTTTTCAGACACTGTAGCACCTGTTATGCCCACATGCATATTCTGTATATTTATTCAACCCATATTTAAAAAACAAATTAATTCTAAGAGTCTTTGCTGTAAACTGAGAGCAAAAGAGAAAAACAAGACTACGTTAATGGCCTACTGCATTGGTAAGAAATAGACTCAAGGCTGATCTGTCATTTCTTTCTTTAAAGTGATGAACAATTGAGCCACCATGAACAGTGGCAATTTGCTGTCTGAGAGAACATGGGTCACTTTATTCAGCAGTACATTCTTCCACAGGTTATCAAGGTGCTGAAAAGTTCAAAAGAAATATAAGCAATTTAAAAGCAAGGTAAATCCTTGGATTTCACAAGTGAGAAACAGGTGACTGGCAGCAAGCATTCTCCTTTACTACACAGGACTATTTGCTTGTGTATGCACTCTAAACATCTTCCATACAAATAGCTTAGGATGCAAGAGGGACCAGAAGCATTGGTTTTGACATCATTCATGCAGCCTGTTGTCCCTCTAGTTCACAAATCTCATATTTGACAGTGATCAGTATCTGACCTTTGCATGAATGTAAGGAACCCCACAACAGGTAGGTACAGAACAACATGCTGTCCATATAAAGTGGCTTGTAACTGAAGTTTGGCTTCAGTCCAGACTCATAATGTTCATTCTCCTTTCCAACTTTTTCATATTTAACTTTGATAACCATTCTGCTAAGTGTCTTACCTTGCTCTGACTCTTCCTTAGCTCAGAGCATTTTCTTAAAGAGCTTGCAGAGGCCAGATTTCATATTGTGAGAGACTGAACTAAGAACTGTTTGTCTCGAGTGGTTTGCCTCAAAGATTGCCTGCCTGCAAGGCCACAGAGATAGTGCTGGTGAGAGATGTCTCACCAACAGCTGCAAGATACCCGTGAAGAACATCCTGGCACCAGAGGTATCTGGCCTGTGAAAAGACCCTGCTGCAAGGCCACAGCGATAGTGCTGGTGAGAGATATCTCATCAACAGCTGCAAGACATCCCGGTGCATATCCAGTAATGCGGAGGACCCACATTCTTGTGTCACTGTCATGGAAACCACAGCCTCAAAATGGGGATAAGAAGGGCTGTTGAAAGGAGCTCCTTACAACTGTCAGACAGTCCACCACCCCTTACCATTGTCCATTGTCCACCACCGAAACACCCAGAGACTTGGAACGTACAGTCCATCTGTGCTGCTTCTCCAGGTCTCCTGGATAAGGCTGGTGTATCCGAATTTTTGTAATGAAACCAGGTTCTTTTATTTAGAAAGTATATTAATATTTATTACAACTATCACCTAAAATACTAAAACATCACATGCACTAACTTTTGCAGAATATATACTAATATGATAAAATAAGGGCAATAGTCACACCTTGCCTGTAACAACTGGGTATCTGCTTCATTGGGTCACTGCGAATTTAATGCCAAGTAGCATGTGGTGACTGATCAAATAATTTGCATGCTAGAGTAGAAGACAGGTTGCTTAAGGATGAGCTTAGTTCTTGCTGGAGAGAGGAAGAAGGTTTGAATTTTGGAGCTGGAGGACTTTAGCAGGATTGGCAAGAATGACTTAAACTAGAAAAAGAGGGCACCAGCAAGGAGCAACAGTGGACTTGTGAATGCCTCCAAACATAATAGATTGGGAACAGCCAGGCTGAGCGTGTTAACAGGATAACGTGGGTGGAAGAGTCATAGAGTAGAAAATGAAAAAGTAAGAGAAAGAAAGCAACCAATGAAGAGGAAAAACAAGGAAGACAGAGAAATCTGTGATGTAAAACTGCCCCAAAACCTCTGGTGAGAAGTAACAAAGCTCATGTTCCTTACCCCTTTCGCTGAATGTGTAAATAGGCTGAACAACTGCTTGGGCTGCCCTTTCAGTGGTATTTAACTCTTATCATCTGTCACTAACCGTCTCTGTTCAATAGAGGTAAACAGGATCAAGGGGCAACATGGTTAATGCTGATGGAAATGTTTTATATAGCATAAGGGAAAAGCTGCTCCAGTCACAGCAAAAAATTACCAAGATGGGGTTGCTATAGGTCATTTCATCCATTTTACACCACAGAGCAGTGAATGTCTCCAAGGCCCTAGTCCAGCTGCTCTGTAATGCTTTGAGAGCTTTATCTTTTTACATGCTTCAAAGGAAAGGTAATGGTACTATATCTTTTGCATTATATGCTACCCCAGCATGTAGGGGCCATATGAAAGTGTGGGGCAAAGGTGCTTTGCAGCATTTGTATGTTAACCTAACTTCAGAGCTGTGCAGGTGCTGCTCAGTCCTCACAGCCAGTCTGATGCTCTAGTTCACGCTCGGCATTTTTATAGACTCAAAAATGAATGTTGCAAACCTGAAAGTATGTTCAGGTACCCCTTGATGATAGTGTCAGCTTTACACTGATGTGGGAGACCCTCTGTGTGGTGGAAATTCCCAAAGACAATTTTAGACCACTCAGTTCTTTTCTTGAGAAACTGAGTGCTAAGTGGGCCCAATAAATGTAAGTTCTACATACCGCTTTTCTTTGACATTCCCTAGTCTCTTTTGGAAAATTTCTCTTCTTTCTTACCTTTCCCCTGATACATTTTAATGCAGTTCACTAACTGGAACAGTTCAGCCCTCTCACCTCTACCCAATTTATTAACAAAATCATTTTTTTGAACTCAGGGGATGTACTGATCTTTTATCTTTTTCTAGTAAAGCACAAATATTGGAGGACAAAGGGCAAAGTTTTCCATTATGTGTAGTGTGAAAAACTCCAGGACTCATTTGAAGAAATGTTGTGCATCTGTATATTATAAATGTGGGAAGAATTATAGTAAACACCCACTTTCATCTCTTCTAAGTTAAAAGAAGAGCTAAGAGCTTGTCTAAGCTAAATCTTCACTTAATTATTATATGAAGCAGATCCCATCTTTTAGAAAAGTAACCTTTAGAAAGTTGTTCCAGTTGTTAATTATTTTCACTGCTAAAATTTTGTACAGTAGTCTGATTCTGCCTAGTTTCAGCTTCAAGACTTGCCATACATTGATATACATTGAGGGGTGTGACTGTTATGTATAAACATATTGTGGGCTGAAAACGTTGTTTTATAAAGCAAGTTACTTAGAGATGATGTTTATGTTAAACCCACAGACTTCTGGTTAGTAAGGTGAATAAATTGATCTTTGGAGTCTCTTACTAAGAAGCAATTTTCCACACCTTTAACAATTCTCCCAACAGTTTTTGAGCTACGTGCAATTTATCTTAGACTGAGGACACTGCAGCTGGATACAATATTATAAAAGAATTTACCCTGAAAGACAGAAAAAGTGTAACTTCTCATCTTGTATTTGATAACCCCATGTTTATATATCATACTATCCCTTTCAGGCATAGTGTTCCAGAGTGAACTTACTTCAGTGGTTGTCTGCTGTGATCCTCAGCTTTGTTTAAACCACACAATGTGCCTGTCTGCTTCCTGAATGTAAAAAACACAAAATAATTTACATGAATACGATGAGGACCAGAAAAGGCCTTGCCACTGTGTAATCACTCAACACTGTTTTCAGCACAAATCTAAAACATAGCCCCACACAAGCTACTGTGAGCAACTTTAACTGTATCCCAGCCAAAGCCAGTAGAGAGTCCCAAGCTAAAAATTGTCTTGAAAACATCTATAAGCGTTCATCAATATAATAATGCATTTGATTGTTCAAAGCTCTACAAGGAGGGAAATGGTGATGGCCAGAAAGATAGGACTTAAAATTTTAGTAAGTGGCCAATATATTTCAGGGCTCCTTTTTAAAGTGAGCATCCTGTTGTGTTCCCTGTGGATTCCTCCATATGCTGGCACGCAAACAGATGTAGAATCAGACCCTGGCTGGGCTAGCAGGACCAGAAGAGCCACATCTTTTTCAGAAATGTGAGGTAGAAGAAAAGTAGCTTGTCCATGCCCCTCTGGAGCTATTTATCTACCAGTTTCCTAGAAATTTTTACCTGCCTAAATATAGTAGTTAACTGGTTAAACACAAACTATGCATAGTATCAGACGTTTACCAACCTTTAAATCTTGGTCTTGCCTTAGCTAACTATACTCACCCTTACACTGGGCAAAGAAATAGTTACTCCCTTAATAAAAAGTTCCTTCATAAATAATATTCGCTTACTTCACAACATAAAACTGTAATTATTAAATGCGCACCCAATGTTTATATAAGATGAGGGCTGCCTAATATTTCCTGCCAATCGCCACAAAAAGACTTGTCTCCCAGCTCTGCAGTCCTTAGAAGGCCTTGCAGAAATTCTGTTAAAGATGGTTGGCATTTTTCTGCTGATTTCTACAGAAATGTTTTTCTAGATTTTAGGGATGAACATCGCCAAATTTTCCATGTATTATTTTAAACAATTTCCTCCTACTTCTGTCAGTTGGAATATAAACCAGCTTTATTTTATGAGTTTGGTCACTCATAAAATAAATCGTGTTAGGAGAAAATTAACCTATCAGCAAGAAAACAAGAAAATAAAGGGAAACTTCTGCATTTTTCAGAACATTGTGAGAAATACTCATTTCAGCAGGTTCACAAGCTCTGCTGGAGTGCCAGGGACTAATGAAAGTTACTCTACACCACCTGCTGAATTGAGTTGAATAGACAGTCTGATTAATTAAAGTGTCAGGTTAGCCAATGGCTTAAACTTCACTTTTTCACAAAATAAAATTTCCAACAAAGAATTATGGAAAAAACCGATTAGGTTATCTAGTTCATTTTCTGTCATTGCACAATAATCCCTCTGTAGACATTTTTATTTCAATTTGTTCAATGCAGTTTTAAAGGCTTGGAGAGGCATAAGCTACAGCTTCTGCTCACAGAGGAAGTTACAGTCTGCTAACCCTGATCTCTATCTTCACATGCAGGTAATGATTTTATTTTTGTAGTAGTATTGTATCATGTCTACTTAAATAACACCCTTGCACCTCTCTGTATGATTGATATTCCTATACAGCAAATATCTAAAGGCTATGTTAGAAACTCACCATTCATTGTCACTGATTTCATATTCATTTTCTCAGAGATTCACACTGGCACAGGGTTCTGTCTGTGAGGAAATCCTTAAGAGACTGGCACAACAGACTGCCAGCTCCTCCAGACAAAGAAACTCTCTCCTTCAGTGTCTGAAAACACCTGCAATGTTTCGAACACTGTCAAAACACCCCAAGAATAATCCAAATGAAATCACCTTTTGCAATAGGTGTACAGCATAGTAGTTAGCATGGGCTGTGTTGGTTGGAAAGGAAGGAAGTCTCCTTTCTTGCCAGGTACCAGTGTTCCTTCTTTGCTCTGTCTTTGTAGTCTGGTGCAATCAAGCTGTGTGAATATAAAATCAAATATAATATATAACATAATCAGAAATACGTCAAATTGAATTATTAAAGGTTTGACATCTGGAAAGCTTGTTTTTTACTTGTTTTTTATATGGCACTTTTTAAGGTGTTTGGCAATCCCTTCTCATGTCCTGCATATCTGTGTGGAAGCGTACATTTTTATTGAAAAAGCTATCTGATTAACAAAATGTTAACAGCATCTTTGAACACTTTTATGAACTCTCTTTTACACCTCTCTGGAAGTGAAAACTATTACTGACTGCCACATTGCCGCTGAAGAGTAGCAGAAAATACCATTTTTTCAATAAAATTCCTGGGAAGATAACTACAGTTCTGAGCATCACCAAAGGCTTAGTGGTTCTGGATCAGGAGTAAGCACTGGATAAGAGTTACAGAACTGTAAAAAATCTCTTGCCTCAGAGGCAGGATCTACCAGCTGCATGGCAAAAATGCATTAACTGGAGATAGTCGCTAACACCCATTAATCTCCACTATGTCTCTATCAGGGTGAAAATTATAACATCATATATCCAGGCTTTTATAACTAATTTTCTGTATTTCTGCACTCACTTGCTTCTCTCTCTCTACAGTACACACACAATATGTAAATATCCATAATATTGAAGCATACCCTGGGTAAGATCATGAGATCTTTGTCTTTATACCATGCATTAACTCTGCAGCAGTGGAACTGGAAAGAAACTGCTGCTTTGTCAAGTAAAGAAAAGGCAAAGAAGGCGGCAAGAAGTTAAAACTTTCTGCTTGCTGCCCTCAAAGAAGGCAGCAGACCCCCCTGCCAAAGAAACCATGTGGATGGACATCCCCACCCCGTAAGTCTGCTACCTTTGGTGCTAAAAGAGCTAGACACATAGCAGGAACTTGTGAGTGCCTCCAGAAGTCGCTTACCTTAGTATTAAACAAGCTAGGCATATAAGTGAGTCCCTTGCAGTTATGGTTGTTTAGGTTTTTTGCAGTCTAATTATAAAATCTAGTATTTTTTGAGCAGTGCTTCAAAAAAAAAAACCCAGAACCTAGATTAACCCCTAAAATGGCATATCTATCAGGGAAGCGTTGAGACTGTGTGGCAAAACACTTAAAATCTGGTTTTAAAACACCCCCCCCCCCCGCCCCGTTCCTTCATGATGTAAACTGGGTCCTAAGCATGTTTGTTTGTTTATTTGTTTTAAATAACCATTCTGGGCAGTTCAAACACCGCCTTCCAATTAATTAAAAAGCATAGAAATGCTATAGGCAGCTGAAGTGTACTAATCCAAAACCTGAATGTGGCAACGCTGCAATACTCCAAGACAAGGGCCTGGAAAACTGGAAGGACAATGAAAACCTCGTTTCTATTATTCTAATACAACACTGGACGCTGGCACAGGCTGGGGACACCTTTAATTTCCGAGAAGTCCTGCGGTCTTACAGGTACCGTAATAATGGCTCTAACACTTATGAGTTTGGGAAAGAGCTTCGCCAAGCGTTGGGATGCAGAGGAGAGCAGGTGCTCAACCCCCAACGCTCCCTTAATCTGCGCTCCTCCAGCCGCTGGCCCCGGCCCTTCCCCTCCCGTCAGGAGCGAAGGCGGCTGGCCCCGGCCCTTCCCGTCCCCTCAGGCGCGCGGGCCGCCGGCCCCACCCCACCGGCGGCGGCGGCGGCGAGGGCCACGGCGGCCGCGGTCCCTGAAGTCGGGCCCGTGCGGGGCGCCGGCCCCCGCGCCACCGCCCCGCCCCGCTCTGCGCCTGCGCGGAGCCGCCCCGCGCCGGCCGCCCCCCGCTCCGCCCCGCCCGGGGGCCATGGGCGCCGGCGGCTGAGGCGGTGCGGGCGGAGCGCGGAACGGGGCGGGGCGGTGGCGCCGCCGCCGCCGCTGGCGGGAGCGGCCGCGGGGCGGTGACTGGGTGCGGATTCCCCGGCCCGGCTGAAGCGGCAGCCGCGTGGAGCGCGGCCCCGGGACTCTGCGGCGGGCGTTCTCTGGCGGCCCCAGCGCCGCGCCCTTCCCCTGCCCCATGTCGGCGTGGCTCGGCCGGGCGGCGCTGCGGCTGGGGCGGCCGGGGGGCCCCGCTGTTGCCGCCGCCGCCGCCGCCGCCGTGCCCTCCTCCTGCCTGGGCTCGCTGCGTGGCCCGCCGCGCTGCTGCTGCCGCCGCCGCCTGGGCAGCCTACGGGGCGGCGCCGAGGTGCTGCTCCCCCCGCTGGGGTCGCCGCCGCCCGGGCGGGCGCTGGGCACTCACCCCAAAAAGGAGCCGATGGAGGCGTTGAATACGGCGCAGGGGGCCCGCGACTTCATTTACAGCCTGCACTCCACCGAGCGGAGCTGCCTGCTGCGGGAGCTGCACCGCTTCGAGTCCATCGCCATCGCCCAAGGTGAGCGGCGACTCCCTCCGCCCCCGGCCCGGCGGCCTGAGGGCCGGCGCCCGCCGCCTCCCCCCCCCCTCCGCGCCCGGGGCCGCGCTGGGAGCGGGCGGGGGGTGGTGGGGAGCCGGGCCGGGGAGGGGACCGAGCCGCTGAAGTTTGGCGTTGGGTCCTCCCGCCTTCGCCCAAGCGACTCCTTCGGGCGGCCGAGCGAGGAGGGAGCCCCAGCAGGGCAAGGCGCCGAGAGGCGAGCGGCGGCGTGTGTGAGCGTAATCGGGTATAAATGAGGCGCACAACCCGAAATTTAGTTTCTAGAAGCATCTGCAGCACCTTCAGAACTTAAAACGACCCACCGTGCCAAATCCTCGGTGTGTTTGTCACCTGACGAGGTGTTTCAGGGAGGCACGGGTGGCCATTTTTCGGAATGGGAGTAGAAAAGTGTGTTTCTCATAAAAACCTCTTGACACCAGTGCAGCAGTAAATTGATTTCGGACCTCTTAAGAGACGCTGGGCTGCTGCTACTCTGGGAGCTCATTCATGAATTACACTTCCCTGCACAGAGACTGGCCTGCTTGCCGGCATTGCTTCTTGAAAGTGTTGGTTCTTAAGCAGGAAGGTGTGTGTGTGCTGGGGAAGCTTAGGGATGTGTCTCTGAATACAGTGCTATGCAACACCAATTAAAATCATTCACGGTGATTTTTTTGTTTGATTCGACTGTTCTTCCCAGCTTGACACCTTCCCTTAAATAAATCAAAACCTGACAAAACTAAATCCTCTTAATTATGACCTCGATACTTTTTTGTTCTGATGCTCAGCTGTAATTTACAGGCCCTATTGCAATTAAGATGATAGCAGGTACTTAAGAGATCAGTGTGCATTTGATCTAGGCCTCTTTGTGACTTTGATAGTAGCGTGCCCTTGGAAAGGGCATTTCTGTGCCTTGTGGCTCTTCTGTACTTGTCTGTAAGAAATCTTGTGGTGGGCAGAGAACAGGTCCAAGGGTCGGTTATGAGAGTGCCACGTCCATGAAGACGAGAGAACCTTTTCAGGTACCTCTTTGGTTTAGTTTATAGCATACTTGCACATGAACCGTAGTGTTTCTAGTCAGAGCAAGAGTAGTTCAGTTAAATGGTTCATTTTAGGAGCAGCGCTGCTGTTTTGCAGAGCATGAATCATCCCAGCACAGTGGGAAGTATGGTTTCAGCTGTAAGTTTACATTAACTTTTGAATACTAACAACTAATACTCTTCCTAAATAAATCATTTTTAGCTTCTCAAGGGTTCTTGCCATGAGGGTTTGGTGTGAATTTCGATCTCAGCAGTTATGCTCAGGTGAAACTGGGCTGCTCACAGTGCTTCTGGGTACCCAGAGCATCATGCAGTGGATATTAAAATGAGACTTTAAAATGTGTTTCAGTATAACGTCTCAAGGTTTATACAGAGATAATTCAACAGATGGTCGTATTTAATATGTTGTTGCTCAGTTGCTGTTAGCTATAATATGAATGTCTATTTCTGTAAACTACTGTGACTCTCTGAAGATTCAGGAATTAGAAAACAGTGTAACAAAAGCATTAGTTTGAGTTTAGAGACTTTACTTCTTGGCATCTTATTACTAAACTACAAATTTATTCCACAAGTGGAAATTGCAGTTTACATGTGCCTGAAACTGTGAGCATTAATCTCGCTAGAGAGATTGTTTTAACAAAACCTCAGCTGTGGGCTTTGTAGCCTCACAGGTGAGGGCTGCACGAAGTGTTGTAATGCCCTCAGACTTCAGTCCTTGGAGTTGGATTCTTGATCTGCCCATCTAGTAGCTTGGTAAGACTTTTTTGAAAATAACCATCTCCTTTAGCCAGCTCCATTCATGTTTTTTTACCAGATTGCAGCATGATAATAGCTGTCAGCTTTTAACTCTAAGATATGATGTTTCTCCATGTGTTGTGGAAAAAGAAAAATCATAACCAAGGAGGGCTTCTAGTAAGTCTGTTGTCAAAAAAAAAAAAAAAAAGGTAAAACTGCAGTACGTACCTTGTGTGTGTTCCTCAATATTCTAAAAATCATATGAACTGAGGAAATGTGGCACAGAAATCATTCAACACTGGTTAAATAGGTGCTCTGCTTTCATTAGATGCACCCACCATAGCGCAGGATCCTCTGGTGTGCACATGCGCAAGCTGCACAGGGCTGAGGAAAGGAACGGTAATGCCAGAAGTCCCAGGTTGGGATGGATTGCCCATAGCTGTTTTCCGTAGAGGGTTGATAGTGATGGGATTCTGATTTTTATGTGAAGAAAGGCAGTGAACATAGAGGCAGGCGCTTGAGGAGTGCCGGATGTGTATTGTCACTCTCAACACCAAGGAGTGCCAGAATAAGACAAAGGGAATAGAATGGCTGCACCGGAGAGAAAACTATATGACTTCTGGGCTAGATGTTGATATTCTGTAGTTCACATGCTGTATTATGGTTAGAGAGTATTTTGTATCTTTGCTTGTTCCTGTTGTTGAAGTGGTGACTGTGTAGGAATGATCTAACTAGGTACACAGGTTGTAATTGTGAGTAGCAGATGGGGGGTCAGAGGTAATTGTGCCCTGTCTTCTAAGTACTTTTTCCAATCTGTTAGTTTCACTTTTGATTTTTTACAGCTAGTGAGCTCAATCAAGAGAAAGTGGGTTTGGAGATGTTGGGTTTCTTCTCAATCTTCTCATTTGGTGGCAGCATGCTGTGGCTTCCAGTAGCTGATTCTTTAGATGAGTTTGCTCGTTTTACTCTTGTGTTGCTTTCCAATGAAAGTGATCCAAATGCAGCCTTCAAATTCGCTTGTCTCCCTGCTCAGTAAATTCTTGTGTCCTGTTTGAGTCTGGAAAATCAGTTTCTCCTCAATCGTGAAATGCCTATGCAGTTTTGCCACTGTGCTTAAGCCTGTTTTGTGCCTGAGATCTTTTCATACTTCTATATGGAAAGAGAGGTCTTAGTCCATACCCTTCTTAACACAGTCCTTATTGGGTTAAGTTTTGACCTTATTCCTTCACTACCTCTTCTGTGCCCTAACAGACCCCATATCAGCTAGGGGAAGCTGTCAGCAATATGGGGAGACCTGGGCACATCAAGAACCAAATGGGGCCTGTTCCTCAGCCCATTCCCAGGCCTACCACCAGAAGGATGCAGTTCCATCAGCTAATTGCCCTAGCGCGAAATATGACAGGACACACTATCTGTGGCCTCCGCTAATGGCAGAGGCTGCAGGGAAACCCATCCTTTGCTGCGGCTGCTACACTGAAGGACGGTCCTCAGGTAGGTGAGGTGTTGTCCTGTGAGTTAGGTGAGTCTCTGAAGCATTTTTTGAAATTTAACACATCTGTTTGCGCTGTAGTCACAAAAGTTGTAGGTGGGAAGAGGTTTGTGAATATGTTCCTGCCATCACCTTATCACCTGCGTTGGATATTTATGGCTGGACTCTTAGAGCTTCCAGATGCTGAGTGCTGGCAGTCGGTTTAAACAGTTTGGCTTATTAATAAACAGAGGTTTATCTGTTTGTTTTAGTGCATCAGTCAGAACACAGCTCTATCTGTGAGCTTGTGATAAAAGATGTCTGTGAAATGGGGAGCCTGAGCTGAAATTAATAGATGGGTTTTGCACAGGAGAAGGTGGGGGTAAGGCTATGAAACTGAATCTTGATGGAATTATTCTCAGAAGATATTTTGAGAACTGTCTTGATTTAGAATATAATCTGTATCTTGCTACCTTAAAATTTAGTCAAAACATCACTAAGTTGCTCTGTTTGAAGACAGCTGCAAGACCTTCTCACCTGGATTTAGTTTTCCTTCTTCATGAAAGTATTTTTCTTCTTCCTCCTACCCCCTCCAATCTTGGCAAGGTGAATAAGGTCTTGCATTTTCCTAGAAAGAGGTTTGAAACAAGGTTTTTAAGTTTCTGCTTGTGTTTCTTGTAAGCATGTCAGCCACACCAGATGGAGATGATCCATGTGGACTTGAATACAAATATTTTGCATTTTTCTTTCTCATATTTACAGCAAGGTTGAAGTAACAAGTAGGCCAGTTCATTTTAAATGTAATAGTTCTGCTTTCCTGTTTGTGGAAGTGGTGCTCCATAATCAAGATTTAGTTTTGTTGGCAACAGACAGTCAAATCTTCCTTCCTGTTGGTCTCTTCTTGCACGGAGGAGATGGAAGTGTAAAAATCTTCCTGGCAATATGGAGAATGATTTCATGCCTCTGATTTTCTATAGCAATTTTCCATTATAAAACAGTGGTATTAGAAAGATCATGTAACTTCTTAAGACACTTAATATAAAGTTTTTCTACCTTTTAGTTTCCAGCATATGATATGAAATGTTTCATGAAAGCACTTCTGAGCACTGCAGCAAGCCTGGTAACAAGATAGAAAAAATACTAGAGGGTTTGACTTGCTTCGTTATGAAATACTAAATTATCATGTCTGCTGAATCTGTTTCTTCTAATGGTGCTGTTCTTACCTGTGCTGGGTTACAATATTCTTGAGCCCAGATGTAACCATTTTCCATTAATAACACTAACATGATGGCTATTTAGGGTCTCTAAGAAATCTCAGGTCTTGATAGTGAGAGAATCCATTATTTTCCCATTTATTTTTTATCAAAGATGGGAAAACAACTCCTGTTTTCCTATCTTTGTGTACATATATATAAAATATATACACTATATATATCCTTGGGTATATATAATATATATTTTTAATGTATAATGTGTGTACATAGAGTGCAATTCCTTGAAAGCAGCAAGTTGCATTTTATATTTTAAATGGAAAGCTTTTGTGATGTCACTAAATAAAAGGCCTTCTGAAGTGTAATTGCTTGTTTCTCTGCCTGTTGACGTTGTATATTAACTGGATAACATGCAAAACCCCAGTAACAATTCAGTTTTGACAGCTAGTTTTGTTGTTTAATTTGCAGGTCTTGGAGAATGCAGTCTTTAGCTAGATTCTCTTTGAAGGTACGGGTATACATGGTTTAATAAATAATCTGACCAAACTGATGCATTCTGGTAGAAAAATGTTCATAATTTCAAGTTACTGCATCTTGTCTTTGTTTTTTTTTAAAAAAAAAAACAAAACAAAACAAGAAAAGTTAATGTGCAGGTAAAGGGCACCAACTCCATGCATTCAATAGGCTGACAGCTGGGGCAAGCTTTTAGCCACTGTTGGGTGAAGTCTTACTTTGGTGTCAGAAGAAACATTTGTGGTTTATGATCTGGTGTTAAATTTCTGAACGCTCCTGTTTACTGGAATAGTTTATGGAGTGTTTGAGCCTAGGTGCCTCTACTTCCACAACTTTGAAAAGAAAAGTTAATTCAGAAGACTGCAAATGTCAAAGACAAACAGATTTCGCTGAGACTTTTAGGTGCTCCAGATGTTATCTATGAAAAAGATTCCCTTTGTTGCATGAGTCAGACACTTCTTACTAATATGAACAAACCGGTTCCTCTGCTGTGGTGGTTTAGAACCACTCAGATTATAATACCTCCTTTTGTTAGAGTTTAATCTGTGTCAACACAACAAAGCATAATTCGATCCTTCTGGAAGCACTTGTCTTGTTTGAAGAGTGATTTCACAGTGCAAGTGTGAGGTTTCTTGTGAGGACTGCTGAGCTGGGAGAAGAAGAAATGGTTTGCTGATGTGCTTTGACAGGTACGATGGCACCTGGTGGGGATGTTTCTCTGCCCCTCACTCCTCTACAGGCCTGTTGTACACAGGTGAACTCTGAGCTCTGTGTGGAGAAAGATCATCTACCTCTCCCATGCTGTGACCTAGGTCAAGAAACTGTTTTTTAGCTCTAATGTTTGGTTGCTATTCTAGGAAAAGGTCTGGCAGACTGCTGGCAAGCATCTAATTTGCAAGTTTGACATGCCCCGTCAAGCTGGTAAAATGGCAAACTCTTGCCAGCCTGCCTGCGTGCAGTCCCTTTGTGTTCTTAGGCCATCACAGCGTATACCAGGACTACTGCTAATCTCACTACTGAGTCAAAAATACTCAGTGGTGAAAGGAGTATCGTGTTTCAGATGGAAACCTGTTACTTGTCTTTTTGCTTCTGAAATGTTTTGGCTGTTTTGGTTGTTTTTTTGTATTTTTTTAATTTTCCCTTCCCCAAATCATGGAGCCCTCTCGTGAATGCAGAGTGCAGAAGGCAGTGTGTGCTACACAGACTTTACTGATCAATTTCTTTATCATCTACAGATGTAATGTTTTGTTTTCAAATGGTGGTCGTATGTGTAATGCAAAGTATTTTATTAAATGGGATCAAGTAAAATATTATAAAGGACTTCTCACCCTAAATGTCAGTTAATGCTAATGTTAAATCCTAGGCATTTATTTTAAATTGATGCCGTTTTGCTATGGGGCGGGGAGGGGAAGTGAGGCATGTGAGTTATCTTTTTCTAGTTGCTCTGACACTGTTTTTTGTAAGCCTTAGTGAAGAGGGAGAAATCGTAAGCTGTATTCAGCCCCTTAGCTGTCATGTGCTTCTATATCTGGAATACTCAATGCATAAACCTGCTGTGGCTTTCCCAGGCCTGGATGCTGAAGAGCAGGGCTCTGCCTTCTGCCCTCTTCAGGGAGCTGGGATGGAGCCCGGCCGGGGGAAGCTGGTTTCTCACTCTGCTGACAGCTCGCAGTAGTTATGTACAAAACTCCAAAGCAAAAAATGCATGAACAGAACCTCACCTCCAAAATGTATTCTCGGGCAGTAGAAAATCTCCATTTCCATTGTTCATTCTAGCACTTACCCTGTTGCCTTAGTCAGTTTAGATATTGCATGTTTTTATTGCAGTGCTCCTTCATGTTTAAGCTTAATTTAAACTGGATGCATATGATGTATTTGGACTTCTTTTTTAAGTAACAATAAAACTGCAAATTTAGGTAGTTTGAGGGATTTGAATTTTTCATTGTGTTACCTCAATACACACATAGTATCTTATGGAAATGTTAACTATATAGAAAAAACTTCATAAAATTTTAACCAAATAAATTTGGTAATTCTCTTTCTGCTTTAAACTCATTTTGTGAGACTTACTCTATTCATGCTGATATAGATAGTACTTTGGGACAAGGCCATGTGTGTATTAAGTATTAGAAGGGGCTGAGATTTAGTGTCATAAACAGTAAATCTGGTGCTGGTCACTCGTGGTAAAACTATCCTGAAACTGTTATCTGAAAATGTCAAATGCCACTGTAACTGTCTACCTTTGAACCACATTCAGCAAGGTACTGTTTTCCGAAATTCATGCTGGTTTTGCTATTGTGGTTTGGTTTTCTTCTATATTCTGAAATGTTACTTGTTCATGTAGTTTGAAGTAGGTTCTGAGTTCCCTGCTTAAATGCAGAAACTTTGCTGGATGTTTTTGCAGAGGAGAGCCAGCAAGCATTCAAATGGAGTTGGTGTAAGACCTAGAGAAATCCAGTCATCTTAGTGCACATAAAGGCTATTTCCTAGCTGACAGATACTCTGGTATCAATTGGAAGATTTTAAATAATGACTTACTACTCTCTTGCTTTTGGAAATTCGTAGCATCCAGATATCCCAAACCACTGGTACCACTTGAGAAGCCAGCGAAGGAAGTAGTATCACCAGAGACGACCAGTACTTTTGGTACAGTAAAAAAAGTGTGTTTGCTAAGGTGTGGCATTGCATAAGGCCAGCAGGCTGCTGGTTTGAGACTTTCTGCTTGCTTGTTTTGATGCAGTTGGCATGTATTGTTACAAGAAATAAAAGCACACAATTTTGGTTTATTTATATTAATATAAAGCCTTCAGTGTCAAGAATTTCAGTGATCCCCACAGTACTTCAGGGATTTACCCTTAATGAGATCAAAGAAGTGTTTCAAATCCAGGTCTTGTGGAAACTCCTAAACTATACCATAGTTTCCAGACACTACTTGACCAGAGATTTCAAACTGTGAAACAGCTTTGTCTACTTGAAGAAGCTGCGTCATCTACCTTATGCATTTTCCTAGGAAAGTGCTGTGCATTAAATTACATGGTCCAAGCATAATGCAGAAATAATATTAAAATTAAAATTAAAGATGTAGTTTGCTGCCTCTGCCCTTCCCTGCAATTAATGTTTTAGAAAGGTAAAGTAGGAGATTGCTCCAATTGAAATGTTTTCCATCTTTTGCATGTGTTTAAGCACGTGATGTGTATAAAACAGTTGTCATGCATGAGAATCTTTTAAATCATGAATTAAAAATAATCTAAACCTTGAGCCATTGTTGTTCAACTGTATCTGTCTTGTGTAAAATAATA